TCAACTTTGAAGAAATCTAAATAAGTTATGGCATCTATGCTAGGAATATGCCTTGAGGTATATTTTGTGAAAATAAAATAAAAACCAACAGTTTTTGATAAAAAGGGCAAGGTAGGGAAAAGCAGCCTTCTTCATTTCTAGGGTTTTTATTTTTTAAAGCAAGTCTTTAATTTCCCAAAAAGATTTTGCACCATTGTGTACAAGTAGAAAATTTGCTGAGGAATCAACCACAACCTTTTCTGATGGACACACTTTTTACTGTTGTGCAGGCCTTGGCTGGGGTATGAGTTTCTTCACAGTAGCTGGTACAGGGATTTGTTTTGGTTTTGTGCTGGAAACAGTACTGATAACACTGGGATGTTTTTTTATTGCTGAGCAGGGCTTACACAGATCCAAGGCCTTTTCTGCTTTTCATACTGCCACAATGGTGAGGATGTTGGGGGTGCATGGAAGGCTGGGAGGAGACACAGCTGGGACAGGTGACCCAAACTGACCAAAGGGATATTCCAGACCATATGGCATCACAGTCAGTATATAGAGTTGAGGGAAACAGGAAGAAGTGGGGGGATGCTTGGAGTGATAGTGTTTGGCTTCCCAAGTAACCGCTACACGTGATGGGGTCCTGCTCTCCTGGAGATGGCTGAAACACGGAGATGCCTGCCCATGGGAAGGGGTGAATAAACTCCTCACTTTGGTGGTGTGCACAGCTTTTGCTTTCCTGTTAAACTGTCTTTATCTCAGCTCATGACTAGCTGTTGCTCTCCCTGATCCCACTGGTGGGGGAATGAGCGAGTGGCTGTGTGGTACATGGTTGCTGGCTGGGGTTAAACCACAACAAACCTTGTGAAACTCTACCCAAAACTGTGAAGAAATCAAATATTTATTTATCCAGTAGTAATCACTTCTAAATTATTGAGTTAAATCTCTCCCTCTCAACTTAAAAGGGAGAAAAACGCATCTTTAGCACTGCTGTCTGTGGCAAGAGGCACAAAAAAAAGAAGCACCTTACAGGGCTTTTCTTTTACCTACTATAACAAAATTCAACATGCTTAAAGAATTTCTTTATGAAAGGAAATAAGTATCTTATCATAATTTAAAGTTATCCTACCTTCATCACTAGCTGTTTAATAAACATCAACAAAAATGCTCGCAGGGATAAAATCTCTTTTTGAGTAGGTCGTGGACCATCTATAAAAGAAACATAGATATACGAAATACAAATTAACACTTGTTATTAGCACAGAATGCATTTTCACAGAAAGAAAAATAAAAGGCATTTTCTGGGTGAAGAAGGCACAATTCTAAGTAAAGTCATCTCCCCTCTATTTCAGACTACAAAACAGTAATGCGTTTTTATTACTTTTTATTAGCAGAATGTCCAAGCAGCGAGGTTCTAATAAGGTTTTTATTAAATACAGTTTTCTAAACCCCTCTAAATTCTTCTAATGATTTTACCACTTCCTTGCAATGCGATGAACCAACTTATGCAAGGAATAAGACTGATATGAAAACTTTACATCAGAATTTCCACATTTCAAATTTTTGCACTTTACAGTTCTTTTTAAAGTTCTGCTAAAGCTCAAAGGAAGAACTACATGCCATTATTACACACTGGCTATATAAACAAAAATCAGTCTTACAATGCTACGTGTAAAGATTACCTTGAAAGACATAACTTAATTTGTTAACTCAAAGTCAAAAGGACTGCCTTCTGCCACCGCTGTGTAGAGCAGACTTTCACTGAAACATTTTAAATACTCAAACACTCAGTAGTTCCCAGGAGAGACAAGGTTAAAAAAACAGGTGCAACCAAATGTCAAAGTCAAGTAAAAGTTTTCATACAGAAAGCAAATGAACTGTCACAAATACATTTCTGAGGATAGTTCTTACATGTGCTTTATAGGTTCGCAGTTCTTATGATCTTAATCATCAAGGAAAAGAAAATCACGAATGAAAGTGATCATCAGTCTTGTTATATAAAGTATAGGCCTACAGACATATTTGGTTTATGAATAGTTATTTTCAATATAAATTTAAAATAGTCAAATAGTCAAAATAAGCCATTAAACTGCATTACTAAGAGTATCCTACAAATACACTAGCCTCAATAAAGCACTTCAGAAACTAAGTAAATCCATGTCCTCACTAAAAAGAAAGGAGAAAACACACATGCTTTTGCTTCTTAAAGGATGCAAAATACTACAAAACAATCTTTACAACCATCTAACAGGAAGGGCTGGAGATTTTGAGAAGCTGGTGGCAGAAAGTTGGACACATCTAAGGACCACTCACTTCTAATATATCTAGCTCTCTTCCATCACCTCCTCTCTCTGAAATTCCAGAGCTTTTCATTACAGAAGACAGTAGAGACATAAATTATTCTCCCTTTGTCAAGGCTGTGTCTCCAACCCCACAAAACACAGAACAACAATTGCAATAAAAATTGTAAAGTCATACTTCCAAACAGCATGAATTCCCTTATCTGTGCCAGTTCCATCTGCACATGTTTATGTTATGCTGGTGCACGTTTTGCATCTCCCAGTTCCTTTTACAATACTGGATTTCTCAGTCAAGCAGCTATTCCTTTTGCTTGTTTCCTTAGGATCAGTATACTCGTTGTGTTTCATGACAAGTACTAAACACCTGTTCTAAATTTCTTTTTCTGCATGAGCTCACTGTCTGAATTAAGCATGCTCATTAAGCACTTTTCCAGCAATTCCCTACACCAGTCAGATAGATTTAGTATGCTTGTTTTCAGTTGTACTGCTACTATCAATAGATCATAGGAACACTTTAAAGACTGTCCAGTACTTGACCAAGCTCCATAAAGAGCCCACATTCCCAGGCATGGCTCTACACTTAGAATCATAGAATCAGCCAGGTTGGAAAGGACTTCTGAGATCATCAAGTCCAACCCTTGATCCACTATCACCATGGTTACTAGACCATGGCACTAAGTGCCACATCCAGTCTCATCTTAAAACACTTGTTACTGACTTCAAGTTGTACAGAGTCAAGAGACTCTCTAACATATAGAGCCACCCCTCCACCTCTCCTACCTTGCCTGTCCCTTCTGAAGAGCTTGTACCACCCATGATAGCACTCCAGTCATGTGAGTCATCCCACCATGTTTCCATGATGTCGACTACAGCACAGCTTTCCTGTTGCATGATGGCTTCCAGCTCCTCTTGTTTGTTACCCATACTGTGTGCATTGGTGTACATGCATTTCAGCTGGGCTGCTGATTTCACCCTTAACTCAGGCTTTCCACCCTTAGGCTCCTCTCTGGAGAGCCCAATTTCAATCCCTTCCCCCTTCAAGCCTAGTTTAAAGCCCTCCTGATCAGCCCCGACAACTTAAGGGCTAGAGCCCTTTTGCCCTTCCTAGACAGATGAAGCCCATTTGATTTGAAGAGACTAGGTACCATGGAATTTGCCCCATGGTCAAAAAACCCAAAATTCCGCTGGTGGCACCAATCCTTTAGCCACCTATTGATACAATGAGTTTTAATCATCCTGGTACTTCTTCCATTAATGTCATCACTGCCAGCCTGGACTACCAGCAGTGGATAATAATCTGAGGGCCGAATTAGCTCAGGGAGTCTCCTACTAACATCCCTCACCTGGGCCCCAGGAAGGCAGAAGACCCTCCCTGTGGGATGGGTCCAGTCTACATACAGGGCCCTCGGTTTCCCTCAGAAGGGACTCATTGACTACAACTACCCTTCTTTTTTTCTTTATAGCTGTGGTTGTAATCTGTCTGGTAGACAGGGTGCAACCAGGAGACCCTCCACACAGATCTTCCTCCTTACTGTCCTCTACCTGCTTCTCTGGGTCCAGGGCCTCATACCTGTTCTTTAAGGGTACCCGGGGAGGTCATGGGGGGTGGGAGAGGATTCTTTTACCTCTTTGATCAGGGACATGTTTCCACTCCCCCAATCTATTTGGTTTGCTCCATCTGCCTGATGACAGGAGGGGCAGGCCTTCACCGTCTCCTGCTGAACTTCTTTTGGGGGTGAAAGGGTGTGACTCCACCAGTCTATTTCCCTTTTGCTTTCCCTAATGCTTCTTAGCCTCTCTACCTCTTCCCTTGAGCTCTGCCACCAGGCACAGCAAATCATTCACCTGCTCACATCGTACACAGACCCCACTCACACTGTCCTCTGGTACTAACGCCAGGCTCAAACACTCTGTGCAGCCCAGAGACCTGAACACTCTTGGTGTCCTTCTTGGGGTGTTCTGTCTGTGTGAGCACACCCCCTGTGATAATAGCAGCACCAACGGCTTTTGCTTTTTTGGAACCCATTGCTGGCTTTAGTTGAGTCGTGGGGAGGGAAAAAAAATAAATAGCTCACCTGAGAGAGCTGGGAGGTGCCTTGCTAACTGCAGCCAAAAGGCGCCATGCCAAAAGGCGCCACGTCCCTGTTTGCCCATTCCTCTTCGCCACACTCCCAGCAGCTGTTTAAATCCCTTGTGGATGGGCTGGGTTCCACCCTCTAGTAAGCTGACTGGGGGAGGTACTGGGCATTCCCACTTGAACCTGAGTGTATATAATCTTGGGGTCTTGGGACTTCTGGGCCACTGGTCAGATCCAGAGGAGGACCAGCCTCAACCAGATTGCAATCATCACTCTCAACCAGACTGCGACCAGCACTCTCACCAACAGGTTTTCTTTTCCTTTTACTTTGGACTCAGGGGGACCACGTGGGGCTCAGCATGGGGCCAACGAACACCATTCTGTTCGTGCCCTAAGGTGCTGGGTTATACATCTGGGTTTTGTGGGTTAAAACCAATTGTTTGTCCGTATAATTGTATTTATTGTATTATTTTTAATAAATTGTAACTCTGACTTATAATCTCTTTTGAGTTGGGTTCATTTCTCCTGCCAGTTTACCTTTAAACCAGCACAATATGACTTCTGAAGAAATTTCCTTTAGATTGCAAAAAACAATCTTTCAAGGACAGAAGCACACTGTCTGAACTGTTACAGGGAACCCACCCCATTAAAGGGAAATTATTTCTGGAACATTCACAGTTCTGTACATCGTTTACAACACTTCTCAAAAATAAAGATCAGATTGTGAGAGTAAAAATTAATATACATACATACCTATGCCCTTGGGAGTTATACCACTGCGATCCTGAGGGTTCACTACCCAGTAGTAATACTTTAGGGTGTGCATGACCAAAAGAACTGTCCCAACCCGTCGGATTGCTCCATATATGTTAACAGTGGCAATGAACTCAGTAGACAGGTAAGTGTACAGGGTCAGCTGAGCCTACAACATACAATCAGGAGAACAGAAATCACTTTTGTTCCTAAATTACAGCATGTCAGACAAATAAATTCTTAAATTTCATCTATTAAAATGTCTTAGAGAAATAGATTTTCTCTGCACAGCTCAGTCACAAAGCCCTTAAAACCTCTGCAAATTGATGAAAAATTTCATTATATTTCTAAAACTGTAGAGTGCTGGTAAGAAGATTTCAAATAGAATCATTTGGTGAGTTTTGATCAAAGTTGTTCACACTCAGAGAACAGAGATTTACCAAAACAAAAACACTCACTGTCACTTTAAATGAAGACTTCAAAGCATAATTTGTTCTTTAAAAATTGCTGAGTTTTTGCAACTAGTCCACCCAAAATTCCCTCTCAGTTTGGGTCGGGGACTCCAAAAGTTACTTACAACTCTCTTCTGCAGAACCCTGCAGGTTTCCAAACTCCCTGAAAACCTTGGGAGTCTGCAAAACTTGACAGCTATTGTCTGAAAACAATTCCTGTATGATTTCTGCTGGGGAGTAAAGACCTGTAACTCTTGGAGTTCAGGCTTAGTTTCAACACTCCCAAATCAATACATCATAACTGTCTTATTTAGAAGAATGAGCAATTTTACCTGTGCTGGGATATGAATCCATATTGCAGGATTGAGGAGAACATGATCACACAGCTGCTTCAGCAAGGGCACTCCATTGTGTAAGTTGCTCAGGTATTTTGAAAAGGCAAGGCAAAGTTCTAGAACAGCTCGGGTAACATGGGCTTTGGAAGACTGTAAAAGAAGATCTGCTTAAGGAGAGTCCTGTAACAGTCTAGGAAAAGTATTTCTCTCAAAAAAATTCAACACTCATGTAAGACATCAAGAAATATTTGCTTTACCTTTTCTAGGCTATATCCTATCACAAGGAAGCCTTTACAGGAAAGCATCTGTTCTTGCATAGCAATAGAGTTCTTCAACAACTCCATGATGAATGCCAATAAAGTAGAACTGAAAAACATGGTTTAGTAAACAAAAATGTTCTAAACATTTACAACAAGACAGAAAATATTTCCAAATTAACACTTCCATCACACAGCCCAGAGATACATTCAATATTATATAAATGCTCAAATCAGAACTATTAAAACAAAAAGCAAGACTACATTTTGAAAACTGTAACTTCTTGCTTTTTATTAATATTTTTCTAACTTGAAATCCTGGACTCTAAAACAACTGTGCAATAGCAAAATTCTTCTGAAAATACATTCTTGCAGAAAGGCAACAGTTAACCTTGTACTTCTCTCTGCTTCGTATTCCACTTACAGACTTCTGCAAGATCAGTAACAAATGCCATTCTGCTTCCTATGGATTTCAGATGAGCAGATATTTTTCTAGACAAAGCTTTACTATTGATTCAAGCTAATTCAGCTCTGTGCTGCTGCCAGAAGGAATGTTCCTGTCCCGCCCCTCGTGTCACAGCACTAATGCCCATGGATCAAGGGCTCGGCCAGCTGAAAACCCCTCTATTGCTGGGCCAGTTTGCAACTAAAGCAAATCCCTGACTTATCACACAGATGCCCAAGCCTAAGCCAGCTCAGGAAACTTCCAGGCATGTCCAAACAGACTGAAGGAACATTGTGACCACTCCTTCTTTACAACAATAGGGATACAGCTCATCTTCAAACAGCCATGAAACTACAACTGCAACGAAACAAAGCAAACTACACCAGAATTCTAGAAAGCAATCCCTTTGTTACCATCACCATCTCTAACTTAGGAGCTCCACCAGCTTCTGTACTTGGATGTTCAGAAGTTGGATGTACTTGAAACAGAGCTCTAACCACAGGAAAAGCCTGGCAGTAACCCTAAGTAACAGTATCTTCCAGAAAGTCTGAAGGTTAAAAAGAAAATAAAATTCCAAGCAATGACTGAAAAAACTCATCCTTTCTGGAATTTCTCTTGAAGCCTTCCCTAGTGCATTTTCTCCATGACAAGAATAAGCTCAAGAGAATCATTCACAATTCTCCTACACAAAAAAATCGTGAAGTATAAAACGTGTACATTTTGGTTCCGTGTGAACTTTCAGAGAACATTTGCTGCAAACAAGCACATCACTTTGAGGTCCTGCCTGTGGCAAGGCCACCTTTTTGTTGTTAGACATAACTCAGTGTCACACAAGACAATGCTAACTACTATGCCATTTAATAAAGCAATAGGTAATTTCCTTTACTTACAAAGAAACAAAGAACAGGACACAATAAGCACATTCACTCACCAAACAGTTGTGTCAATGTGATCTGATGAATATTGCCTGTAGTCTAACTGTGCAAAGAGAGGGAAAAGCACCTGCACTCCTCCAATGGAGTGCAGGGCACTTTGGATAGAGTGCGTTAAGACTGCTTTCACATCCTGAGAAAGAAGAAACAAGAAATATTGAAACCTCCTTCAGGAACTGCTAAGAAGTTCGTTAAAAATAGTTTTTAATGTCTTCAATATAAGAGCTGTATTATTGCCAAATAAAAAGAAACAGCAGGAACAACAAACTGGCTGCCACAGCCACACTAAATGTCCAGTCTGCCTGACCTACTGTTCTAGATACAGTCTACAGTGGAGATCCTCAGATGAATACACAGGAGGTGGCTTGTAAATTCTAAAACAACTCTCTAGTAACAGAGAAACTCTAGAACAGAATACATGAAAAGGTTCTGACAATTTAATAGATGAAGGCATTCAAGGCATAAGGAAGAAAAGGATTTCATATCAACAGGGCAAAGGATGGGAGATAGGTAACATCTGTAGGGGAGGGAACATGTCAGAAATGAGGAAGAAGGATTACTTTTAAAGCTCACACAGCCTTTGTAATATTGACTTTTTTTTGGTTATAAGTTTACACAGAACAAACTTTCTTCTTAGGATTCTTATGCATCCACTTTAGTTCAAGAAACAGGAGGTAGCAGCAGGGCCAACCCAAAAAACCCCAACTTATAAGAAATTCCCAATCTTATCCAAATCCCTATAAAAACTTGATTTTAGGTTTTCAAAAAAATCATCAGTACACTCAAAATCTATGAAAATGTTGACATACCTGCAGCATGAGGGCATGTGGTGAATGAACAAAAATAGAAGGGTTATCCTTAGGGGATGACTCTAGACACAGCTGTGCATCTGTAGCCCTTGGATTGTACATAAAAGCAATAGCATTGGATAGTTTGCCATCATATAGCAACAATTTGTGATGTTCATCGAGGAAGAGATCACTTTCTGCCTTGAACTTGAATGTTCCCTGGATTGGGAAGCAGGGTTGAGTAAGGAAAAAAGAAAAAAAATTAGACTACATACATTGAAGATACAGTTCAGAACATAACTACTGCCAAAAAAATGACTAAAACACTGCTTCTTTAATCTAGAAGTATTTAATAAAGAAGAGGTCTCAACAAGAACATTGAGTCAAAGTCAATTTTACAGAATTAAAACTGCAGAATTTTCTGGACCCCTGAAGAGTGTCATTGCCAAAATGGTGGGTAATGTAAAAGAAACACATTAGCTTGGAAACAGCATGACTGTCAGCAATGTTCACTCAGAAGGAACTAATAATTGAGGAACAGATAGAATAAAACCATCTTTTTTAGCTTATGTTTGTACAGCTGCTAGGGAATAACAGCCTTCAATTAGTGCCCCTCAGGCTAAGACAAAACAAATAATAAATCACTGCAACAAAACTAATCCTCAGTACTAACTTCACATGTTAAAAACACCCAACTAGCACAAGCAACTCTAAAGCTACATTTCTAAAACAAATACATCATACTTCATCCAAAGTTTTCAACCTCAGTGAAAAAGCGAACCTGATCAGAGATACCAGGGGTGTTTTCCCTCTCCCAACCACCAACACTGAAATTTTGAGACGCAAACAGGAACATTGTTCTTTTTATTTTATAAGAAAATAAATAATTGAATCAACGCTTAGTTGTAGTCTGTGAGGCGATATACAGGCTTACAGAGGAAACATGGAAGAGTTTACACATGTTACAATGATGTTACAGTGCCACAACATTCTTAAAATTCACCATAGTCTTAGCACAATTAAACTCTTAATAGTCGATTCTAACATACCTTATACCCCAGACCAAGCTGATAAATAGCAAAGATCTGAGCAGCATTAAGAGCTTCACTAAAAAGGTAAACAGATGTCATTTGCCCACAAAACACTCGATTGGCATCTGCTGTTTCTGAAGAACCCAGGAAACATTTGTCAAATGTCTGAAAGTAAAACAGAACCCAGTAACAGGGTTAATCTATGCTACACAAACAAATTATACAAAAAAAATACACATTTTATCAGGGAATATTTTTTATATAAACAAGTATTTGAGGGTCTCAGCAGAAACAAATTTAAAGTTCTGAGATGTATAAAAGCACAATTTACTCCTCTACCAAAACGTTACTATTTTTATTTCAACATTTTTTAAAAATACATGAAACGAGGGAGGTTTAGTAAAAAAATGGAAAAGAATAATTATATAATCCATCAATATGATCAACTAACTATAGGTATTAATGCACAGGGATTACTTACATCACTGGTGTTGACAAACCACGTTATTTCTCCATAAGATGCCAGTTCCCCATTGACATAACATCGAAGTTCACTGTTCTTCCAGCGGTTGTAGATGTGCACTATAGTAACCATATACCACTAAACAATAAGAAAACAATTAACATAATTCTACAGATACCTAAAGAAGGTTTACCATTCAAGTGGGGCGTAGTAGAGCAAATTTACGAGAAATAAGTTAAGACTGACAAATGTATTTGAAGCAGAAAAGATTAATAAGTCACTGGTGAGTTTTCTTGCATTGCTACGTCAAGGGATATTATCCCATTTTTTCCACAAAAAGATGACACAGAAGCTTAAAAGATATTTATGGTATATAACTTAAAAATCTTTATGGCACTGCTGAACCAAACTTACACTGAAACCATTTGTAAATAAGTTCTAAGCTGGGTTACTCGTAGCATGATGGACTGCTAAAAATGTCATTCCAAAGAGCAAGGATGGCTCCAGACTAAAGCCTATCAAAGGCTGTGCATGTCAAATTATCACAAACAGGATCCATATTTACAGCAAAGGATTACTGATAAGAAATTCCTGAGGAGGTCTGTTCTCCCACAAAATGTTTACACCAGTTGCTCCAGAAACATTAGCAGAATATCTAATTGAAAAAGGAGATATTCAGCATTGCATAACACTACTTAATAGGCAAAACAGCCTTGAATATCAGCAATAAAATTAACTCACATTTTAATTCTTACATTTAAAAAGATACATAGAATACAGCAGCAAATGCAAGGAGACTACTTGTTGGACAACCTGGATGAACACAAAGCATAACATTCTTTCAAGACTGATCTGTTTTCTACCACATGTAAGACCATCAAACTCCTATTAACGGCCTTTGCTTGATTAAGAAAATTAAATGTGGGTTAGTAAATGTGCTCTCTTAAAATAACACTGCATTTGCCCACATGGAGTAAGTGATGATATAAAGGGGAGCCTTAGCAAAACCTTTTAGAAAAAAGAGAAGAGAATGTCTGGAGGTATGAGAAAACAAAGAAGGAAAAAAAAAAATCACAAGCATTTTCACTTTCAAGCTGTGTCTATGGACTAAGAATTCTGAGAGAACTCACACAAGTCTCAAAAATTCATAAAACGTCTAATAAGTTGTGCTTTTCTAGCTTTCTTATACATTGTATAATTAAAAAGCAATAAGATTTCAGAACACAGATTTGTTTTGCTCATTCCAATGTAACTTTTGTTGTACAGAAAGATGAGCCTAATCGATAGCTACAACACACACTCCCAGGCTACAATTTTAAATTCATTAAACCTATTTGAAAGATTTTATTATCGTTACTCACCTTTTGTGGCTTGAAATCAAATTTTACACAATGCTGGAAACCTTTTCCCTTTGATTTTATGGATGTTACAATCAGGCAGCCTCCAACAAAGTGAGCAGAATAACCAAGTCCTTTGTTTGTTCGAAAACTGACAAATTAGAACAAAATCAGCACATACACAGATGCAGAAATCATTGAACAATGAATAGAAAATGAACATCAGAAATGTGGTTTTACATAGTACTCACCAATATAAGTAAGGCTTATCCTTATCCACGTTAATATTATTTACAGGATCCATTCTTAGCCAAGTGTGGAAAGTAAATCCATTCTGGTATGGCCACTTGGCTATAGGAGGTAAGGCAATAGCCTAAAGGAAGCAAAAAGTTATTCATGGGAGAAAGATCAACATCACAACAGTAGAAGTATACAGGTCAAGACACACACTCTACAAATGTATACTGATACAAAGACACACACTGCAGACATGTACACTTTTCTCTATGCTTAAAGAAGATCTGGCCTAACTTGTGCTTTTTGTAATTGTTACGATATTTAATTCATCTAAATATTTAAAAACTGGTCTTTACGTCTCAAAGAAGATTATTAACAGTAAGTTCCATTTTAAAACTCAAATTCTTTAGTTGAAGACAGAGTATAATAACTTCTCAAAAGGCAAATTTAAGTAGATTTGGGTTTGTGGTAACCTGACAGAATAATGAGATTTATAAATTTAACTTCACATAGTGTTGGTATTTAGAAAAATAACCAATTATGAAGGAAAAGCTGTGCACATCTCAACAGATTCTTTTCTCCCTTGAAACTCATGTCTACATAGATTTCCAGTGAGAAATATGACAGAATCATAACCTTCCTTAAAAGAAAGTTAATACAATCCCCACCAGCCAAAATCCTCATCTCAAACATGGGCTTTGTTAGCCCAAAAGCTCCTAAGTTACAAAGTGTATGTTGGTACCCTTTGTTTCAAACAGTTGGGTTTTATTGTTGGGGATTTTTTTGTTTGGTTACAGGTTTGTTTTTTTTAACATTACTATCAACTTTCCACTGTTTTGGTATACAGATTTGCAATACACACTTCAACTAAAACTGCCATAACCTCTGATCAAAGACACTGTCAAGATGATCAATACCAATGAACAAAAAAACATCAAAGAACTCAAGTGCTGCCAGACTCCTTATTATGCTCCCATGATCCATTCAGCTACTCCTGTCCAAAGAAAATGCTATAAATCCTTCTCTATACCAGTCAGCTAATCAGTCTGCATGTCTTTGAGCCCAGCTTTTGGGAACTGGTAGGACTATCACTTGATTTAACTCACAATGGATCTTGGAGTAATTATAATAAATACTTAACCTCCTAGACTTCTAAATTCAAAAATATATAAGAATATTCACATTAAGGTTACTGAGGCACCCCAATACCACATATGGTTCAAGCACTCAACATAATTAATAGAAGTTAAATACAAAACCACTACATGAATATCCTAAAGGAACAAAAACATGTCTGTTTATTGCCAAGTTCTGTTGCACGTGATAAAACTGCAGAAGCATTTTCCTAATAGTCTGCATTTTTCAGTCTCAAGTTTTCATTTCAAAAAAAATTCATTATGTCATCAAGTTGGTGAAATGTAATCTCAAGCCACCAGGGCTGAAAGGTAATGGGTTTATTTGAAGAAAACTGGAAAGAGTCATCTGATAAATCTTATTCAAATCTTGTTCTGAATTAAGCATGAAATTTTGAACATAATTTTTCATCCTACAATTTCAGAAGCAAAAGTGTTGACATACTTGAATTCCTACAGAAGATTTTCCACAGAGCTTTCCAACTACCTATTTAGATTTGAATTTTTTTTTCAAGTGAAGACCACAGAACTTAAAAATTAATTGTTCGACCACTTGAACAATTACAAAAAGACTAATCATGGCTAAAGTTAATCTTTTTCAGTATTGTTCAGCATATAAATGTCTAGGATTTATGTTTTCTCAGAGAATTCTTCTAAGCAATATATGTTATTCATATCATCCCATCATTAGAAATAATTATAAATGGTAGAAGTGGAACCACTTCTAGTTCAATACTTTTTGTGGTTTCACTAGCAAAGGTAGATGCAAGGTTGTATTGGGTATGTGTGGCAAGGTTTTGGTAGTGGGGGGCTACAGGGATGGTTTCTGTAAAAAGCCTCTAGAGGCTTCCCCCATGTCCAACAGAGACAGTGCTCCAAGATGGACCCACCGCTGGCCAAGGATGAGCCTGTCAGTGATGGTACAGCACCTCTGGGATAAAATTTCTAACCAGGGGAATGGCAACTTCAGTTGGAGAGAGGAGTGAGAACTGAGAAAGAAACAGCTCTGCAGACACCAAGGCCAGTGCAGAAGGAGGTGGAGGAGATGCTCCAAGTATCAGAGCTGAGATTCCCCTGCAGCCTGTGGTGCAGACCATGGACAGGCAGCTGTGCCCCTGCAGCCCATGGAGGTCTGCAGCGGAGCAGAGATCCACCTGCAGCCCATGGAGGAGCTGGTGGAGGCCCAAAGGAGGCTGTGACCCCGTGAGAAGCCCATGCTGGAGCAGGCTCCTGGCAGGACCTGTGGTCCCATGGAGAAGCCCACACTGGAGCAGGTTTGCTGACAGGACTCGTGACCCTGTGGGGACCCACGCTGGAGTGGCCTGCTCCTGAAGGACAGCAGTGCGTGAGAAGGACCCACACTGGAGAAGTTCATGAAGGGCTATCTCAATAGGTGGAACTCCAGAGGAAGATTGTGAGGAGGAAGGAGCAGTAAAGACAACATGTGATGAACTGACTGCATTCCCCATTTCCTGTCCCCCTGAATCACTCTGGAGCAGGAGGTAGAGAAATCAGGAGTGAAGTGGAGCCTGGGAAGAAGGAAGAAGTGCGGGGGACGTGTTTTAAGATTTAGTTTTTATGTCTCATTACCCCACTCCGATTTGATTCGTACTAGACTAAATTAATGTCCCCAAGTTGAGCCTGTTTTGCCCGTGATGGCAGCTATTGAGTGATCTCTCCCTGTCCTCATCTCAACCCACAAGCCCTTCATTGTATTTTTTCTCTCCTGCCCAGGTGAGGAGGGGAGTGATAGAGCAGCTTTGGTGGGCACCTGGCATCCAGCCAAGCTCAATCCACCAGAAAGCCACTCTCACACATACTGGATACTAACAGAAGCACCATTCCTATCAAAACATGAGGGGGGAAAAGCAGGTAGATTTTCCTTGCAACAAGATTTAACTGAACCAGTCTGAAAAAAATAACAAAATCAAAAAAAGCAGCCTCATTTATATCCATTCTTTGTGTAATAGTATTTGTCCTTCTATAGTGATATTGCACATCTATTATAAGCACGATTTATTCAGGCACAATGTAGGTGGTGGGTAGAGAAAAAAATCTGGTTGAAACTCGTATGACAATGACAGATGAGACAAAGAACACCACAAATGAAAACAACCAGCAGCCATAATAGAAAAACAGATGAACAAACAAGAGACTTAAAATATCTACATACTGCAGCACTTTTTCCTGGAAAGTTGAAGAAGGCATCAGGTCCATACTTCTGAGGCATGTGTTTTAACACAGACAGTAACTTCCCAGCATGCGGTGGCTGACAAAGAGAATTATCACACTTGTGAATAAATAAAACAAACCCATAAGAAATACTATAAACACATAAAAAAATAATTTTAAGACATTATAAAACTTTAAGACAATTAACTAGGTAACTTAAGTAGGGACTTTAAGACCAGAGTCACTTTCACCCAGCACAAACTAAACTGAGCCTCAGTGTTGGTTCCTCCCTCTATCTGTTCATTCCCATCAGCAGTCCACGTGACTTTGCAGTAAGCTGAAGAAAATTACCTGATTCAGATGAAAACTAATTTAGGAAAAACAAATGCAAACTAATTTTTAATTACAGCTGTTCTGGATTGTGATGGCAGGAAACCTGTGCCAGCACAAGGGAGATGGGGAATTCCTAGCAAAAGGAGGACCAGGAGACAGGATTATTTTCATCAGGACTACAGTGATAAACAACATTAAAGTGACTTGTAAGCCCATGGAGAAAGATTAAATTCTCAAAGGCAGTTTGGAGCACCTAAACTGAGTGCTCAGTGTGAATACTTAACACCTTCCCACCATCCTAATTCTGCACTGATTTTGTTGTAATGCTCAGTAACTATAAACTCCAAATCAAGTATATGAGCTCACAACAACAGAAGTACAGCAAATACTGGTAACAGTCACAGGACAATTTTGTGTGTCTTCTTTCATCACAACGCAATCTTCTGGGAGATCTATTTTTAAACTACAATTTTATAATTCTGATATTTTCCTGAAAGTGCCCTTTTTCCCCCTCTTGTAAACAGTCTCTGAAAACTAAGCATTGCATGATGTGTTACAAGTATTTCAAATATACCAAAATTACAGTCAGTTAAACAGGGCTTCAAGAATCTGAACTCAAATTGAGGGGGAAATGCTGAGAACTGCTTAGATGTCTTCAGCACTATACAATTTGACCAGGTAATTTGTGTAGTAGCAAAATACTTGGTATCCTTAAAGCACTGCTGATTTTAAGATTTATGAAGTTGTACAACTCCTTGGCAATGCAATAGCGGCATTTTTCTCTCTTCCTTTACTCTGCATTTAGTCTTTAATAAAGAAAGGAAATTAAATGCAAATAGCAGAGAGACAGGAAATGAAAAAGTTAATGTTAAAGAGGCCACTTTACTCTATGGTTAAATATGCTCTGTATGTTCAATTAAGTTTAAACCATCTATGAAGTTAAGAGTATTTTTATTTAAGCAGGTTAAGATCTCCAAACTTATTTATTTCAAAGGGTCTTCTAAAATTTGCTGTATTATGTATGCATACTTGCTGTTATATTGAATAATCTTTTTTAAAACCATTTGAAGTCAACAGAGGCACTGTGTTACCTTTTCTCTACACTAGGCAGACTGTTTAGAGATAACAGGAGCTGAATTAAAATTCAAATCAGGTAAAACGATTGTTAAAATAATTTCCAAGTCCAGCAAAACAATTGCATGTTAAACAAAACTTCCTCCAGTGGCCTCTACAACATACACATTTTTACTTTAGGGAATGAGGTTCTCAACAGTAAAAGGAGACCCTCTTCTCCCTTTCTGTTTTACACAGGAACAGGAGAAAAATGATATAATTTTTCAGTGGAATTTATCTCCTTCAATTCAATTTCTGCCAAAAATTCTCACTTTCCTAACTGGATAAGTTTTTTCAATCTTCAGGTGAAGTACAGCCATGTGAAAATATGAGCAGATGGAACTGCCTCTGTAGGCATTTTTAATTTATTTCTCTCTCATGACTTAAAATAAAAAAATATTAAGCCTTTTTCCTTCAATTTCACATGCCTGGAATCACAAAAATAAAATCATGTGCATAAAAACACTTGCTCAGAGTCATCATATTATTCCCAGGTCTTCAGAAAGACCAATCCAATCCACAGATCCAAGAAGAAATTTAATTTCATCACTATTCTACTCTCTGTATTTTAATTGCTTGCAGGTAAAAGCTTCCTGTATTTTTGGTACATTCAAAATTTGTTTATTATAAAGTTTATGAACAAGTCTTAACTTGTGAACATTAAGAAAAACATAAGCAACACCACAAAAATAGTTTCAGTTTTGTGTTTTCTTTTACCCATCTCCCTTTTTCTCCTTGAAGCTTGCTGAAGAATAACTTGAGCTCTCGAACTGTCAAGTTATAGCTGGCCAGCACACCCAGCATATCTACTAAGAGATCTGAAAAGGAAAAAGAACAGCAACATAAGTGCTTGATAAAATGCAGTGTCAAATTTCTATCATATAATTAATGTGTCCATGGGGTTTTACGTAGGAAAACCACAGTTTGAGTCATACACTGGGTGAAACTGTACCTGCAATCATGTTGTCAGCTCTGTCAATCCTCTTGAGCACCTGTTCAACCAGCCCCACTTCCGTGCACGCCTGTAGATTGCGGATACTTTTCTTTAGGATTGCTGTAAACATGCTCCACACCTCGGCCTGGCAGGTCACGTCACATTTATCCAGCAAGTCCAACATGCAGGTGATGCCCTCTACTTCTTGGATGATAAAGTTCATTTCCAAGTCAAACTGGCCTCCGACGAGCTTTCAGACAAAAATATTTAAAAAAAAAACTTCAGACAACTGTATCAAAGTACTATTCCATATTTGAAGTTATTCATTCTGCAAGAAGAAAACCATCAAAGAAGTAGGCTAAAAAAACCATAATGAGGCCAATATCAATATATCGTCTCATTTTTCTTCTGTTTTAATTTCTATTAAGTAACAAAAGGTGCTCCTAAGGTGTCACTTACTATCAGACAATGGCTGCAGAAAAACATTTGAGTAGTTTAAGATACAGATGTCCTGAGTTGCCCTACAAAGCTGAAGACATCAAGTGAGTGTTCTAAAACAGGTGAGAGTGCCAAAGCAGCCTAGATTCCTTAAGTGGCCTGGAGTGCCCCAAGAGCTTTCCTTTGCATGAGCTTAACACTCCTCAGGTAAGAGAGCAATTCTAGCCAAAAAGAGCTGATGCACATCAGAAATATTAGCACTTATGAACACCCAAGAGACATTCCTGAGATACTGAATAAAGCTGGTTAAGTAGGAACTGCCAGATTAATTAGCGCTCACAGGTAGTAAAAGGAAGCAAAGGCCTGCTATATTTGCATGAATGTGGAACAGCAGCACCGTTCCAAGCCTTTGACAATGCTTTGGGTATGACACTTAAACCCTGTAGTATTTTAGGTCTCCTAGCGGCATGTCTTATTTGAACTCAATAACTAACCACATATGTGTGTGCCAAGGAAACAACCTGCTCCAATCGTTCATCTACTCAATAAAACAAAAATCCCAACTGAAAGAAAGATGCATTGTACCAACTAAACTCCTTTATCCCAATTCCCTCTCTCCGCTCTTTAAAGTTCTCTTGGATTTTAGAACTGTAGTAACCTTAAAAATCACAGAATCACAGAATATGCTGAGTTGGAGGGAACCCACAAGGATCAACAAGTCCAACTTCTGGCCCTGCACAGGACCATTCCCAAGAGTCACATCACATACCTGAGTATAATCCAAACACTTCTTGAACTCTGTCAGGCTCGGTGCTGTGACCACTGCCCCAGGGAGCCTGTTCCAGTGCCCAACCACCCTCTGGGTGAAGAAACTTTTTCTAATATCCAACCTAAACCTCCCCTGACACAACTTCAGCCCATTCCCTTGGGTCCTGTCACTGTTCCCCCCAGAGCAGAGATCAGTGCCTGCCCCTCCTCTTCCCCTCACTAGGAAGTTGTAACTGCCTTCAGGTCTCCCCTCAGTCTCCTCTTCTCCAGGCTGAACAGACCAAGTGCCCTGAGCCGCTCCTCTTATGGCTCCCCCTCAAGGCCCTTCACCATCTTCATTGCCCTCCTTTGGACACTCTCTAATAGCTTAGTGTCTTTCTTATGTTGCAGTGCCCAAACTGCCACAATATTCAAGGTGAGGCCATGCTTGCCAAACTACCCATTAAATACCAGCACACAAACAGGAATGCAGACAGCATCAACTCATATTATCAAAATGGACTCATGTTTAGAAGTATTTCAACTCGTTCTCACTTCTACAAATTTGTATAATAAAAGACATTATTTCTGTCCTAAGTGGTGCTCCTTTCACAGGCTTTGACCATTAACAGCTTCAGTGTTGTCACTCCTGAAGTCATACCATATCAAAACTGCCCCAAAATGCACATACTAACTTGCTTCCATATTAGCTTCTTTCTAATATGCACATACTAACTTGCTTCCAACAGCTTCTCTCAGCTAGTCAGGATCCAAAGATAAACTTACCCAATGGAACAGAATATATGCTCTTTATTAACCACTGAAATTACCATACATTTTCCTCAAGTGTCTAAATCTTGTCACTTTGAAGAAGCAATCTTTGGACTTCTGGGCATAAATCAGTAATGCCAAACACCACAAGAAGCAGAGAAAGTTACTGCTTTTATGACAGAATAGACAATGTCTCATGGTGACAATTTCTAAACAGTAATTTACAATTTTCCATTTTCTCCCCTCTTGGTCTTGAAAAATAATTATACAATTTACTATCAGATGCTTCCTGAATATCTAGGGAAACCGTAGGAACTGAATGGGGAGACTTGAATTATATTCCCAGGTTCTCTATATCAACTCATGTGTCAACTCAAACAAATCTATCAAATCATTACCATTCCTCAAGCCTTAGTTTTCCCCTTCCAAAATATGGAGCAGAGGCCTACCCCAAGAAAGCTCTGTAAGGCCGAATTCAAGGGAGAATGCTGAGCAGAATGAATTAACACAGAATTATCTCAAAACAAATCCAAATGAAAGAGGACACCCTCCTTAAGTAAAACCTGAACAGAGCATTTGAAAACATAATACATAACCAATTTTACATTTCATTTTACACTAAATTTATCCTCTACAAAACTGAGGTATTCCTCAAGAAGCTGCTCTCCTTCTTACCATGAAGAGGAAAAGAAAATACAGCATTCTGTGTGGAGAGAGAACAGCTGAAGGTTAAATTCTAGTCACAAACCACCTGCTAATTCTTAACAAGAAATTCAACTCTTTATGCATTTGGTTTTAACTATCAGCCAACATTCAATTATCACACCAAAACCATATACAGCAACTAGAGGTGACCTTACCTTCACCCTATAGTCTACACCACCAATCTTTCATTTTTGGCTAGATACACTATTATCAGTAACCACCCATCCAGGAAGCTGTCAAATTAAGTTTCCAATCTAATCTGCAAACACAAGCATTTCAGCAAGTACATTCTAGAAATAATATGCTATGGTAAAAAAAGTAATTCCCATTTTAACACCTCCTTTAAGGGAAGTGAGGACAAAAACCATTACCCAGAGAAAGCAGAACACCCAAGGCCCAGTGCAGCTGATGTACTATATGTATGCATCCCCATTAGATACACATAAGCACACACACATCCCCCCCAGTATGTCATATTAACCCTTTCTAATGGTGATTTGAAGCTGATCAACCTTCCAAACACAAATTTGTTTCCAATGACAGGGATCATAATCCAGGTCCACGCGTTGGCTAGTTATTATCTGAGCTGCAGTAATGGCTGTGCACAGCAAAATGTAATCTTCCCAAATGTCACAGTAAGTTATGAATATCTGAGCAGCTTAATGCACCTTACTAGCCATGAAGTGTGAGAATGTAATCTTATTACCTTTTTTATGGTTGTATTTTTTTGAATAATGTAGCCTTTGAACTGATGTATAGTCTTTCCTTGCACTTTAGCATGATTTGGTCTCCTGTGTCGCACAGTACATTTTTCAAAATTCTCCAATTCAACGTATTTTAAGTCCTATGCTGAGCTGCATAAACAATCTTTATAGCAACCTACAGGGTGGCATAACGTTTTCTTTCTTCAGCATGTAGAATTAAGTGTAAGCTTACAGGAATGGCTTTAAAGGGCAGTATTCAAATACATCCTCACAAATTTTAGACTTTGCTAGCTATATTTACCTTTAAAAATATATATAAACTAAGCCAATAGCTCAAGCCTTTTTGTAAAATGTTTCTACATTTGGCTGACAGAGAACAGGGAGCAATTTTTTACTACACATGCAGAGAGTGTAATTTTTTTTTTCCTTTAGAGAATTAAACTAATAAGAAGTCAACATAATAGCACTAATTTTAAGTATAAAGTAGCATTACAACACTTCTAAAGAGAAGCAAAAAGGCAACTGAAACACACAAAACCTCTCTTTGCCAGGAAGTGATCAAGATATAAAAGAGATAGTGCACTGCTTGGGTGAGCAACTACCAAACTATAGCATGCAGAAAACAGATTAGAATAAACTCAATCAAGGTCAACTTTCCTCAAAGATCATGATCTAGATTATTAATGTAATTTAAATAATTTCTGCCACTAACAGACATAAAATATTTCACAAGCTTGTAAGAAAACGTGAGAAAAGGTATTTCAATGACCTATAATACGCATACCAAAAAAAAGAAACTAAGTCCAAAATGAGCATTTCTCCTGGAAAAGCCAATTTCGCTACACTTGGGAGAACTACAGGGCTGGATCTTCTCATTTTTACCCCAAACTTCCAAAAAAGATTTCACTTCTACAGAGTTTCCTCATCCTTCTGATTGTTAGATAAGCTAGACACCAAGTATTTGTTCCCTAAAGTCAGGATGAAGGACTATCAACCAAACTGTGACCTCCCTTTGCCTCAAGACGATGATTCTGTAAAATCTCAGAATTGCTTCTTTAGAATGTCGAAAACAAGGGGTATGGACAATGCCTATCCAGTGGAAAACATCTATCCCATGAACTAAAAAAACCACAGTCAAATAGGCTGACTCTATCTCAGTGAAAATTTTAAAATGTTATGCTTAATAAGAACCTGCAAAGCTGCATGTAAAAAGCCGATAAAAGCCAAAAATCTTCTATTCATAAAATTAAGGTACTTACACGAGACAAACACGAAGAACAATGTGCTGAAGCTAAACCAATTGCTACTTCAACAACTAAAGGTTTTATATACACCCTACTTTTTACCTCTGTTCACGAAATAACCATGTTATCCAAAGCAGTTCTATTCTTAATGCAATTTTACATCATGTCAGCTAACCCAAGGCTAAAAAAAACCCAAACAACCACAAAAAACCCCAACCAAACAAGAAAACACTGTGGTTTTCAACCCTTGTTGACCAAGTCTGAATGCAGTTTCTGAAAAACACAAACAAGATGGACTCATTTTAGCTATAATGTTCCTGAGTAACAACAAATAAAATATTCTTTGCCTACATTTATCTTCCACCAAAGAGATAATTCACCTCCTTAAGTCCATCCCCTTTCACGTATTCAGAAACTCAAAACAAATATTACTGATCATCAAAAATACATGCCAAAGATTTGGGAAGTATCAGAATTAAAATCTCTTTAGGGTAAGAGTATCACAGGATTGTGGGTGATCCCAAGCTAGTCAAATCCTCTAAGGGCACACAATAAACAGCAAAAGTCAGCACCATGGTACATATCCTGGGCGTGATAAAAAGGTGGTTGTGATTTGGAAAGGCTTCTAAAGAGCAGAAGAG